TCATTTTTATTTATAAAGTTTAAAGCTTCAAAAATATAGTAGATCCGGATCTATGAAAACTTGAAAATTGATGGTTTTGAAATACGTTATATAATACGCTATTTCCAAAACTTGAAATCCGTTTTGTTCTCATGTCCGAGCATCTTGATGTTGAGATGATCAATTTGATGATATGTAATCTCAAATACATATAATATCAAATAAATCCTTATGTCTTTAAAAAAAAACCATGGTTTTCCTACAAGTCAAAACAAAAGGGCATTTAACCATCTAGTTAACTTTTTCAATGTCTAGAATTAAAATAGAACAAAGAAAGCTTTCCCTTAAAGTATTTATTCTTTTTTCTTTTTCTAATGACTTCGTCATCTTAAATTCTAAAAAAACTATCTTCTCTCGTAATCATCCATGGACCCCTTCCTCTCTCTCTCTCATATCATGTGAATTTCATAAGTATTTTAAACATGTCATCTCAAATTTGATTTGGACGATGGGGTTCTTAAAAAATATTTGACATAAAAAAAATTGATCAAAATACTTCCGAAAGTTTCATTGAAACATCAAAACCAATCTAGTAGCATTGTGCCAGTGACAAATACCAATCGTCATCTGGAAAATTCCGTGCGGCCCACGTTCCGATAAAATTGCATAACCTTCAAATATGCACTGCAGTGTCATGATTGTTTCCATGTTTCTCCAAAGATTTATTGAACGTGTTGCTCAAAATCGCATCTCCGAGAACTGAACTCGAAGAGGGCCTGACTGAGTACCATGTTCAAGAAAACCTGTGGAAAGCATGAGAATATCAAATCTTCTGAAATTTCAGGAGAAAATTCTTTCAAGTTGGAGTAAATTAATGATAAGAGGGGAAGAGATGTAATATGTGAGGTTGGCCCAAGCAAGAAACAACTCACGTATTTCCTCCCCATTGTTTTATGGACCTGGTTCTATGTGGCCAAGCCTGCATATGTAAAAATCCATGCCTTTTAATAAATCTATTTTTGAGATGAATTTCAAGACTTAATTTTTTAGGACATGCAATATCTAACATGGAGATCATGAATATGAAATAATAAATAAAATTGAAAAAGTAAAAATAATAGTCCTAGTAAGAAAACATTTGGACCGTTAGTTTCCATTGTTTTTAGATTGAACACCTACTTGCATCCATCTTGAAGAAGGATGCTTTACACTTTTTGGACCGTATATGTAGAAATGCAGTCTACCCAAATAAAACAATTTTCCATGTTTTATTTTATTTACTTTTTGAATGTTGTTTTATTTGTTGGGATTGTGCAACGATGATTTATCTTTATTAGAAGGAGGTCACATTCACTCATAGCCCTCAGATGCTAAATTGGATGTATTAAGTTGCGTCACAAAATTCAAGAACTTTCTTTTTGAACTTTGAGTCTAGCCAACAATTCACTCAAAACTATTTTTGATTTGAAATCTAATGGACAATAATGATTATGATTTATTTGTACTAAAAATAAATTGAGTCTCTTTTTATCCTTGGCCCTATTTCTTCTTTTTGTTATCTTTTAGGCAAAAAAAAATTATACAAGGCATCAACCTTGAGCAATAAAATAACCTGCACCTTAGAAATCTACAATAAAATGCTTAAGAATTTAAATGATTATATTGACTTTGAGATATAAGGATATAAAAATAAAAAAATTATAGTTTTAAAACTAATGCATCTTATAATATATTATTTAGGCATTTTATTTTCAAGACATTCAAGTGTTTGTAGATGTGTTCAATTGGTACCATCTTTATAACTTTAAATTTTAGATTAAGGGTAAAAATAGATTTATAGGTCATCTTAGATACTTATGACACCAAAAGTGATAAAGTTTGAAGATGCATCTTAATTTGATTTTTTTTTGAAGGTTAAAGAATGCACTCGTTAGATAATATTATTAGGGTGGTCAACCTCCCTAAAATAATTAAGTTAGACCTGAAAGACGACTTGACCCCTTCCCTACATGTACAGTCGGGAGGTACGATCTTGAATCATTGGAGCTTGGATGAACTTGCAGAGATTCTGGCTTTTTCATCTTTGATTTTGGGTTTTTTACATGGTTTGAAATGCATCTAGATGCATCTCTGGTTTTGGGGTTTTAAATGGTTTAAAATGCAAAATAGATTCATCTCTGGTTTTGGGATTTTTACATGGTTTAAAATAGAAAGAAGTGTCTTCCTGAAACTTGGAACTTCGCTCTCTTCGCACCACGCCGCTCAGCCAGACCCCTCTCTGCTCCCTAGCGTTTGCTCATCTCGTTTATTTGTCACCAGTTTATTTCAGCAGCTGCGGCGAAAAAGGTTTGAACCTCCCCTTTTCTCTGCGTAACGCCCCCCTCTCTCTCTAAGGGCTTTTACCCTTTCCTATAGAAAATGTGGATGCCCGCATTCACCGTTTTCAATTCAAGGGATTGCTTGTAACTCGGTTCTGTAATTTTTCTGAATTGATTTAAAATAAAGGCTGATTGATCGTTAGGGTGTGGGGGTAATTTGGTTGGGTTTAATGGAATGTGGTGGTGTTGGTGAAGAAGAAGAAAAAAAGAGTATTGTTGCAGGGGATGCAACTTTTCTCTCTCTTCTCCGATGGCAGCCTCACCACCAAAATGCCGTTTGTCTCTCTTCTCCCATCAACTATCTCCAAGGTGAATCCTTTCTCCTTTCTTTTCTTTTTTTCATTCTTCTCTCTCATATCTCTCTAGATTCCTTTCAGCGATCATTTCTCTCTCTCTCTCTTCGTTTCCCTCACCTGCAACTGCCCCTCTTTCTCTCTATAGGTTTAGATCTGCGGGGAATGTGCAAGGCAGAGGGGACGGGCCGCACCCGCACGCACGAGTGCCCTCACGCACGGAGAGCCCGCATCACGAGACCGCACGAACAAGAGCCCGCACGTACGGAGATCCCGCACCAGTGCCCACACATACAGAGAGCCCGTACAAGTGCCCTCACGCACGGTGAGCCCGCACGAGTGCCCTCACGCACGGAGAGATCGCACAAGTACCCGCACGCACAGAGAGCACGCACGAGTGCCCGCATGCACGGAGAGCTCGTACCACGAACCCGCACGTACGGAGAGCTCGCACGAGTGCCCTCACGTTTGTAGAGCCAGCACGAGTGCTCTCATGAATTGGGAGCCCGCACAAGTGCCCTTCGAACGGGGAGCCCGCATGAGTGCCCTCACGCATGTAGATCCCTCACGAGTGCCCTCACGCATGTAGAGCCCTCACGAGTGCCCTCACGAACGGGAAGCCTGCACGAGTGCCTCACGCATGTCGCGCCTGCACGAGTGCCCTCACGCTCGTAGAGCCCGCACGAGTGCCCTCACGAACGGGGAGCCCGCACGAACGGGGAGCCCGCACGAGTGCCCTCACGAAGGGAGAGAGGGCACACACGAGTGCCCTCACGCAGGGAGAGAGGGCACGCACAAGTGCCCTCACGTAGGGAGAGATGGACCGCACGAGTAACCGCATGCAGGGAGAGAGGGCCCGCACGAGTAGCTGCACGTAGGGAGGGCCCGCACGAATACTGCATGCAGGGAGAGCCTGCACGAGTACCACACGCGGGGAGAACCAGCACGAGAAGTGCGTATGCAAGGAGAGCCCGCACGAGTAGCCGCGCATGTAGGGAGTGCCCGCACGAGTAGCTGCATATGCAGGGAGAGCCCGCACGCAAAGGAGAGCATGCAGGAGTGGCTGCACGCACAGAGGGCTCGCGGGAGTGTATGCTCGTACAGAGAGCTCGCACGAAGGGAGAGACCGCACAGAGAGCCCGCACGAAGGGAGAGCCCGCACGAGTGCCTGCACGTACGGAGAGACCGCACGAGTGCCCGCACGCATTGAGCGCCCGTTCGAGTGCCCGCACGCACGGAGAGCCCGTTCGAGTGCCCGCACGTATAGAGAGCCCGCACAACTGCCTGCACGTTCGGAGAAGCGCGTTCGCTAAGAGTAAGCACGCACGCGCGATGAGCCATTGGTGATAGATTTGGTTTTTTTCGTTCAGATAATTTAATAAGTTTATTTTAAAGGCAAGAAAGAAAAAGTAAAAGCGGACCAATGAATCGTCGGCCTGGATCTTCGTGCGATACCTTCGATGGAAAGTCTGAATTGAACCACGTGGAATACCACTCCTTGTGAGTGAGATGCTTTTTACCCAACTCTACTTTACTTTCCTTGTTCCCAATGGACCACATGTTTTGTATGCGTTGAAAATAAATTATCATCATTTCTTTAAGGAAAATGTTTATATAAGGATGCTACCTTACCTTATAATGCACAACTACGGATGCTCTTCAAAAATACATCGACATGCATGAATATGAAAAATAAAAAGATTTTAAGTCTCAAAAATATTTTCTGCACCATCTATTTTCAAAATTTTCATATGTTTGTAAATCTATTTGATTTTAACCATTTTTAAAATTTAAAATTTTATAATTGGATATAAAATGAAGAAGTAGATTTTAATATAATCCTAATAACATTTTACATCAAAATTATATACCATGATAAAATTTAAACGGCCCGTATGCCAACTACACCCTTTCTTTAAAGGAAAAAGTTTATATAAAGTTGTTAAAGTAAAAGTTTATATAAGGTTGCAATCTACCTTGCACCTCAAATATTCATCCAAAAAGATAGTTTTAATGTTGAAATACCCTTTGAATGATCATGAAAGATAAAAGATTTTAAGTCTCAAAAATAGTGCATTTTACAACATATTATCTACACCATCCATTTTCAAGATTTTCATATGTTTATAGATCTACTTGATTTTAACCATTTGTGAAATTGAAATGTTATAATTAGATAAAAATATAGATTTTGAGATAATCGTAACAACATTTTACATCAAAAGTATATACCATGATAAAATTTGAAGGTGAACCCTTCTTTAAAATGCTCTCCAATGGATCATAAGCTCTGGAACCTAGAGGCCAACCTCTAAGAAAAAAGAAAAATTCAAATTTTTGGAGGTCTGAGTGTTGCAGAACTCAAAGTCATCTATGATTCATAGGTAGATCTCAAAATTTCAAATAAAGAAAAATCAGGATCATTTTCCCTCAAGGGACTTAAATGTATAATATGAGGATCCTTACACGCTCATGTGGCAAAACAACTATATCCTAGAATACAGTGGCCCCATTTTGTTCTCTGAACATTCTTTTAGCCCAGCTTCAGGACTTCACCACCTCTGTTACCCGTGATCCACCAGCTCTCTGTTTTGTATGTATTTATTGACTTGAAAAAATCCATTAATATAATCAGATATTAGCAATTCAAAAATGAAATCTATATATAATAGTAAACAAAGCAACAGTCTCATTCAGATTTGAGAAAAAGTCCCTCACTTGGACCGTACCTTCCACCTTCCCCTTCATTCTGATAAAATTTCCTTCACCTTCTTCGCCTTTAGACATGGAGCTCAATAATATGGTTGTTTCCATGTTTCTCCACAGTTTTCTTGAGCCTGTTACTCAACATCACATCTCCGAGAACTAAGTCGAAGAGGACCTGTCTGAATTCCATGTTCAAGAAAGCCTGTGGAAAGCATGAAAACATCAAATCTTCATCAATCTTCTCAACTTTTGAGATAGAATTCTTTCAACAAGGATTAAAAGAATAAAAAGAAAAGGGGATTTAGAAAGGCTGGATTGAGGCCCTTTTATACAGGTTTTGGGGTTGAAATAGCTAACCCCATTCTCACACGCATGACCCGGACTTCTCAACCATTCTGGGGCAGTTTGTAAACTAAAATCACAATCTTTAAGGAGGGATGTCCATTTGGAGTGATTTCCCTTTTCAGTTATGGTGATTAGGGTTTGTTAACCTTAGCCAATGTATCAAACTATTAAACCACTATACTGCACAGGAAAAAGTTCATAGGAGGTGTCAATCTTATATTGTGCAAGTAACCTATACCTAAAAAATCAATTAAAAAAAATGTTTTCATGTTGGAAAATTCTCAAATTGATCTTTTTGACCTCAAGATATATGGACATTAAAAAAAAAAGATTTCAAACCCTTGAAATAGCGTATCTTGTAACAAGTTATCTCAATTGTCCATTTTTTCAAGATTTTCAAACATTTATAGATGTCCTTCATTTGCAATACTGTTAAAATTTCAAATTTTATAATTAGGGTGAAATTAGATTTTTCGGTTGTTGTAAAGTTTTCTACATCGAAACTACATCTTGGGGCAAAGTTTAGAGGTGTTCTTCACTTCTATAGTATAAGGTAGGCACCTTAGATAAACCTCACCCACAAAAAAAATACTATAGTTTTCCCCCCACCTTTTTATTTATTTATTTTATTAACAAAATATCGTACCATGAGAATATGTCCCGCTAGCCAAAGTTTCCATTCATATGATTATCCCAAAAATAAGGTAGAAGTTAAGAAATGAAAGTGGATGTATCAAAAGAAAACATAGAATTATAAGGAATAAAATAATTGTCCCGTTACCTAGTTTTTCATTCATATCATTTTCTTTCCGTTTTTATTTGACCATTATTTCATTCATGAAATCACGCATAAGATAAAGAGAGCGAATTGCTAATGGTAGGTCATCCTCTTCCCACAAACTATTTCACATTATATGAAGTTATTGTTTTCCTCTCTCTCATTCATTAATATGAAGGAGGGTGGGTTTCAATTCACTATAAAGGAAAGCAAACTTGTAGGCCGCTAAACCACCTTGTATCATATGCAAATTAAATTGAACCAACTATGTCTCCAATCCAATCGCTCAAAAGAAAAGTAAAAGAAAGTCTCAATGAAGCATGGTTTTGGGAAAACAAACTCATACCTTTCAATAAAATGTAAAGTTGTACAATTTTAAGGGTATATTTATATAGATGAAGTTTTTGTAAGGTCTAGGTTTTATGTAAACAAAATCAATCCTCACATCAAATCCTCGTCCGGAAAGTACAACAAAAATCTCTATGATGGCTCTAAAATCAATTTCTAACAATGATAATGAAATTCAAAACTCAAAAAATACCATCGATCTTGTGGATCCATAAATAATTTTAGCGCAAAATGGATGGTCTAGATAATTGATTACAATATATACTATTTATAGAGCTCGAAATCCTATTTTTTTCCAAATCATAATGTTCAAGCCAAGATGACCAATGTAAAGGTTTTCTAATGCTTGAATTTCAATTTTTGATAAGTTATGAGCGAGGCTTTACTTATTTTGATAGGGCTGCAGCCCTATCAAACCATTTTCCATTGATAAATTTGAGTTTAGTGTAGGGGCATAGACAAGTTGCATCGGCCCTCATCAGGACTTGACCCAAAACATACATTGTTTTTTTTTTTTTGACAAATGTTATCAATTAGTATTAATGACTAAAAAAAATCAGTTACATCACACACTCGTTACATCATTCAAAATAGAAAAGGAGACCCAAAACATACATGGGGGACCAGACAGATGACCTACAACCAACCCATGTAATAAAAATATTATATATCGAATAAAATATATATTGGAAATGCGTAATTATGTATATGGGAAGTTAACATAGAGATCCACTTTATTTTTTCAATTAATTTTTTTTTTATACTTTGCGCTTGTTGGATTTTTGTTTTCCCCGGATTGTCTTTTGTTTGTACTTGGTGTACTAAACCGATTTTTTTTTTTTTTTTTTTCAATGTTAGAATGGGTTTTCCGAGTCCAAATAGTTGAGTTAAAGCTCAAATGATGATGATTATGAGAGTTGAAAATCTAAGGCAAAATGTGCAGAAACCATTATTGCAGAGAAAACGATGAATTTAGTATCTAAAACTGCAAAACCCATCTTTCCAATATAAATTAGACTGGTTTGGCACCTATAGTGTCGAACCCAAATCTCACAAAAAAATTCAACTCTTGTGGGTTGTGCTCCAAAGGACCACCACAGTTTAAATGGTAATTCAATTCAATGGACAACAATCCCATAAATTGAAAGACCATTTAAGCATTAGTGGTCCATTTCACACTTTAAAACTTCTTACGCACCAATGTGCATTTTTAGATCCTGAGGAGGGAAACCTAAGATGCATGACATGCACCCATGGCATAGTTTGTTGCCCGTAATAATCGTGAGCCAAACTCTGGTTCATTGCAATCTTTAGGAAAGTAAAACGAAAAGTAGGAATTTTGAGTAGAAAAGGTTTGAGATTCGATCAGAACTCCCCGAACCAACCTGACTAGGTCTAAGTTAGACTTGTTTGGTTCAAGTCACTTGGACATGGACCCAACCTATAGTGTCACGTATGGTTCGAGTCTAGAAAAAAAAAGAATATTTTTTTGTTTTTTATATTTTATAATATAATATATATATATATATATATATATATATATATATATCATAGAACTGTATACTATGAGATTATTTATCTTTATTACAAAGGGGTAATAATTACTCTTAATCGTCTGTTGTCAAATTGCAATGCTTGGGTGTGTTTTGAAATTCGATAATACTTTTACAAAGTTCTTTTTGGATAATTTAAAAGTGGTATGTTAGTGGGGATTTGGGTCCTTACCTTTTGAGAGATTGAAGTAAGAGACCTCACCATGAAGTTCGGCAATGTTACCGTCAAGGCCTCAGGCCATTCTCAACTTTTACAAAGTTTGCGTCTAATCAATTTGAGGAAGAGGAGGAAAATAATCGTCAATATTTGCTTGTTGTGTAAAAATGACGAGGAGACTGGAGATCATTTGTTCATTCATTGCCAGTTTACTTCGACGTTGTGGATCTGAGCCTTTCACATTATTGGTTTTCAAATGCCTTTACCGGCACATCATTTTGATCTGATAGATCAACTCTCGGATCCTTCTTTGCCTAAAAAGGGGAGACATTGTGATTGTAGAGTAAACATAGAAAGCTTGCCCTTCTAAATATGGCTTCAAAATCCTGGTTGAAAAACACCATAATACGTCTCTCTCATGCTTTCTCTCTCACTAGTGAGATTACGTGTTGCAAATAAAAACGAAATAAGCCCCTATACAAATAATTGCATAATACGTGATGGAAAGTGCATAGATATGCAATAACCGCTCACATACACAATTATATACATACGCAACATGATAATACATTGATTCCTCACATTAATCCAATTCATAGCATGCAAAAGACCATTAATCCCTAACATTATTGCATACGATTATCGATAAAAAGAAAAAAAAATCAGATTCTCTCACTATAATGCTCTTGATTCCATAGTTCATAATAGTGGGCGGATGCCCACCTATAAAATAACAAAAGAGAAAAACAAAGAAAAGATAGAGAGAGACCCATCGTGTGCCTTTGGAGTTGGGATCCTCAACTAAATTGAAGCAGTTAAAGCAACTTTGTTAAGTGAAAAACGTGAAACAAATCGTAAAACTAACAATATTTCCCATCTAGAATTTCTTTCTTTAAAAATAGAGAAAAGGATAATGGAGTGAGTAAAAGAAATCTTTGAGATATTTTTGGCTATGAGATATAGTTTTTTTTAAGGATAACAAACCCACGTTCCCTCTCTCTCTAACTCACCTATAATTTCCAAAATTTTTTAAGGATAACAAACCCACGTTCCCTCTCTCCCTAACTCATCTATAATTTCAAAAAATAGACAAAAAAGAAAGTGTAAAACATCCATCTCAAAGATATATGAGAGTAGGTGTTCAATCTAAAAACAATGGAAACTAACTCTCCAAATTAAAGCTTAAAATTCATCTCAAAAATAGATTTATTAAGAGGCCCACACACTTCTCCATGTTAGAGATTACATGTTCTTAAAAATTAAGGCTTAAAATTCATCTCAAAAATAGATTTATTAAGAGCCCCACACATTTCTCCATGTTAGAGATTACATGTTCTTAAAAACTAAAGCTTAAAATTCATCTCAAAAATAGATTTATTAAGAGGCCCACACATTTTTACATATGCGGCCTTGGCAAAACCCACGTTCGTTCCAAATACTTATTGGGATGTCTCCTTTTCTTCATGTAAATCTCCAAGAATTACTGAGATTCCTTTTCTTTTATTGAAATCTTCTCTTCTCCTTTGGCTATGGTTGAAGGATTTACTTCTTCATGTAAATCTTCAAGAATAATCGAGTTGAAGGTCTCGAGGACCTCGTGTTCCATTGCTCACTATTTATAAAAATAGGACTTCGAATTCATATTTATCCACAGAGACATTATCTTGAAGAGTATTCAACTTCAAAAGTGCTCTTCTATACACACGAGCATATAAATATGACCTCATATTTATACACAGAGAAAGCATGTAAATATGACTTCATATTTATACACAGAGAGAGCATTATCTTTGAGAGCATATAAACAGGACTTCAAAGTTATACAGAGAGAGAGCATTATCTTAGAGGACATATAAATAGGACTTGCAGAATTGATAGTAAAAGAGAGTATTATCTTAGGGAGTATTCGACTTTGAAAAATAGGACGACTACTTCGTATCTAAATGGACAGTACTTATTTGAAAGGATTTTCTCAATTTAAAAGTTTGTGAATTAGATAATAATTATTAGATTATTATTCTTTAAAAGAAAAAATAAAATTTAATTTTGAGTTTTATGACACTCATATCTATCCTAGACGGTCACTATTCAATCTGGAGGCATAGGGT